GATACTGTCATTGCCAGCCAAACCTAACCCTAGATAACTCAGAATTTAATACCTGGAAGTGAGGTATTAAATATACACCATTTGTTTAGTGTAGGGTTGGCAAACTTTGCTGAAAGAAGCCAGATAATAAATATGTTTGGCTTTGCAGACCATATATGGTTATGCAGCCCTGAATCGTTACCCCCCTTTAAAATAACCTTTTAAAAATGTAAAAAATATTCTTAGCTAAATCCTTTACAAACACAACAGCCATTTTCAGCTCAAAGGTCAATACAACTGGATAGTCCTGGAGGAACATTTTGGCTGATCCCATTCCTATCCAGTAGGGTTTAGCACATGCCCTCAGGAAAATGTCAACTTCAGAGCACCTGTACCTTTTTGGAGTCCTGTTTTCTCTTCTGAACGTTTCTCTGGTTTTATTTATTGATTAGAAAACAATGCGCTTAATTCCTAAAAGTCACATTTACTCTCAGAAGATGCATCAGAATTTTTATAAAAATGGGAATGTAAAAAAAAATCATCAGAAACACATCACAACTACAGATTATTAACAGTAAGATATTTACTCAAAAGAAAAAGTAAAACTTGAGTTCTCAGAAAAGAAGAAATCAGACAGCAAGTTATGTTGATAATTTTTTAAAGTTTATAATGGTACTGTAAAATTCAATTAAAAACCACTTCACTCTCCCAGAATTACACACTATTGCATTGTTTCTCATTTCATATGATTTATAATTCTAAGGTGCACAATATGTTCATATCTTTCAAACCAACAATTATTTTCCCAATAAGCAACTTGTATAATTTTATTTAATTTAGGTAGATAGATAATAGTTTTCTATAAAACATTGTACTCAAAGTACAAATACAAGTGCTTTATGCACACTCTTTAATACTGTTTCTATCTTTCTTTTGGTACCTTAGTTAACTTCACATAAACAAAAACAATAACAAAAAGGAAGAGAAGCAAGAGATTGTTTAACATGTGGAAATTAGAAATGCATTTCAGTGAGAGCTTGCTTTTCATCAAGAGATAAGGGATAACAATATTGGGCTATAGTGCAGTCAGAAAAATGAGGAAACAACAGTTCCATGAAGGATTAGGAAAACAAAAATGCCAATGATCACATGAACTATTCATATCAGTGAAAGTGATGATTGATTTAAATAGATACATTTGCAGTCTGGGAGCCCAAAGATGTGCTAGGAATTATAGTGGAAAATGCCAAATTTAAAAGTAGTATTATACATTTGTTTAAAAAAAAGTTTGTATGTTCATTGCAAATCATTCATTGACAAAAATATAGGTCGGGCTATGCTTGTTAAATAGAGTTTTGAATTTTGTAAACACAAGCACATCTAGAAAACAGAAATAGTTAATGACCCAAGTGTTATGTTAATAAATGATTACCATGTTTCTCATTTACTTAAGTCAATATATGAATTTTTTAATTTCAAGTTTTAAAGTGTCTTCTGAATCTCTAATCTTCTTCTGCTTTGGCATAATTCTTTATATTTTTTTCACAGAAAATATTTTAAAATTTATTTTGCTTAAACAATAATAGGTCAAACATTAAATTCATCTTTCAAAAAGACTCTACCAACTAACTCAGTGTTTGGCGATAATAGTGGAAACTTCAGTTTTAGAATAGAGCTGATTTATTTTTGGGATTCTGACCAAGTGGTAAAATCTACCAGCTGATGTATTTGTATTCAGCTTTGAAAAAATGCAGAATGGACCACTGGACTGTGTGCCCCACTGAGAAATGAGAAATGTATGTATTGGTTTTCACAGTTTCTGGGATAAGAGTAGGTACACAGTAAGCACAGACTGATCACACAACCTATGAAGAGTAAGTTGGTGGGTTGATAGCAATTTAGCTATTCTTTATTAATAATTCCCAATTTTAGTAATGAGAATAAAGGAAGAGTAAAAATTCTATAAAAGAGGAAACTAACCTGTCAGTGTTATTTTAGATTAAAAATCATAGAAACTGTGTGTGGGATTATGTAAAGTTTTTTTTTTTGGTGAAAAATATTTGTTAAGCAGCCGTATTAGTGAAATTACTGCAAGGAAATTAGTGTTTAAACAAATTTGTGAAATGGAAAAAGGGGGGAAAGGCAAAAAGATTTTTAAGGTATAGATTTACATAGGAAGTTCTCTCTGATTTGGGATGTAAGTAACTTGATTTAAGGAAAAAAGGAACTGGCAAATGTTCTGAAACCCTGTGGATCTTGACAGGTTGGGCAAGCATTCCCAAGGGCCATCTTTCATCTTGTCCCCTGACAATCTGGCCCAGCTCTGCCAAATCAAGGTGGAATTCAGGTTTTGTGTCCCAGCAGAGTAAGGGGAGACTAGGACTCCCCTTACTGAAAATACATTTATTGAAAATTCTCTGAAACCTATGAAAATATACTAAATAGTATCCTGAAAATTAATATAAATTAAAAATTAGATTGATATAGCATTTTAGTAATCTTATAGAAGTCTTATAGAAGACTTGAAGAAATTTTTAAAAAACCAAACCAAACAAAAACTAATTTTCTGCATAGCTATGATCAATCCATGGCTATTAACAATACATAGCTATAGTTGAACTTCCACCCCGCTTTAAAAAGTTGAGGAACTGTGGTTTGGAAATAGGTCCTCTTTTGTTAGATATTTTTTGAAGTCAAGGTTTTCATAATATGAGGTAGTTTTCTAGCAGCATTTTGGGTGTTGATACCCAAACACAGTGTAGTTCGGCATGATACTGGGGTTGAAGGGTACCCTAGTTATCTAGGAGAATTATGTTTTATTGCAGTCAGTCAAAGGTGATTTTCTTGATATATTAAGTGGGGGAGGGAGAGAGAGATATACCAATTTGAGAAGAGGAAACATTTTTATAGGTAAGGAAACAAACATCCAATCTCAGTGCTGTTCCATTTCCTCCTAAGTAACACTAGACTGATTTCAACCATCAATAAAATATTCATTGACAAAATTTAGAAGCTCAATACTAGGTATCTAAATTGTTGGTTTAGGTATTTTATTATTATCACTTAATTTGCTAACTAATTTTATGTTTTTCTATGGAGAATTAGAAAGCAGTCAAGGAAGAGTAGAAAAATGAATAATGATGGGTAAGGTATGGAGGTGTTAAATAGGTGCTAATTTCTTAAATCTAAAAATATGAACATTATGCAAAATTAAATTTCAGTTCTATACTTGTTTTTTTAGAAAAAACTAATTTTCCTCCTCAGAGTTTCAAACTCATCATAGCAGAATTTGCTCTATATTTCTTAACTTGGGGAAAATAAAATCAAGCACAGACACATGAATGTAGTATAAGGGGATTCAAAGTCTCAAAAACATATCTATTCACTTGTCTAAAAATCAGTCCTTAGAAGGCAAATGTTATGTATACCTGTGTTTCTCCTCAAACGTAATGATATGGTGTTCCACAGGTAATTTTCTTGACACTTTAGTATTTTTTTAATGTTTATATCTTTACTCTTCATCTTTTAAAACATCATTGACAACCTCATTCAGAATAATGACTTTTCTTATAAGGAGATTCCTGTAGTAACTAATCATCTTTTCATTTGGAATACATTTAAAATTTCTCTGAATTAGTTTTTCTATTTTACATTGACTGAACTTTGCAGAATGCCCTTTGCTATTTATTTTCAAAGATTCTAAGGAAAATCAAAACTTTTGCTCTTGGAATTTGGAATGCTTTTTTAGGCTGAGTGGAAATTTGCCTTGCCCCAAAGAACACTTGTAATTGTAATGGTTGTCTTTGAGAATAAAAGCAGATCTCTGGGGCAGTATAAATTTGAATATAAGAATTGCTTTAGGAGGAATATTTTTACTTTCTCATTTTTAGAGTTTGACTCAAGACTTAGTTTGAAGTCAAATGAATTGTATTTAAACTCATACTGTTTACAAGGTGAACATATGTAAAAATATGCTTTGGCTATTTGTTTTAACTCAGTTTTCCTGCATTTTTCTATTTAATAAAAGTGATTTAAAAAAAATTGAAAGATGGGGTGGAAATTCAAAGAATATAGCAGTTCCCAAACTCAGCTGCACACTGAAATCACTGTGGAATTCTTAAAAAATACAGATGCCAGGCCTCCACTCTAAGACACTTTGATGTAATTGGTTTGAGGTGTGATCTTGGCATTAGCATATTTAAAAGCTCTCCAGGTGTTTCCAGTTGCAGCCAAGTTTAGAAAATATTATCCTTGGGAATAGGAGAAGCTAGATGTGAAACAGAAAGCACAAAAACCTTTCAGAATTTCAGCTGTTGTTTTGAAGACTTTGATGTCTGATTGGAATTCATAAATTGAAATGTTACAAGTACTTTTAATGGTGATTGAAATTTACCTGACTTCAAGTGGAATCTGGCCTGATTTTTGGACCACAGAATTCCTAAGGAGCTCACAAAATCGTTGACACCTTCGTGTTTCTGTTTTCCTTGGAGTGCCCTATAATTTTGCGAGGGCCAAAAGATTTTTTTAAAATGAAAATCCTCATGCTATGTCTTAAACCTCTGATAAGACTAGCATAATAGTAATCGATATTTGGTGCTGGACTTTGATTACTTATGTTTTGAATAAAGTGATCATTTACAAGTATGTCAGGAAATAAGTGCCTCTTTTGTACCCTCATTCTTGGTTGGCATCACCTCCCTACCATCAGATATTCCTGGAGAAGAGTCCTGAGACTCTAGGGAATTTGAGCAAATAACACTCTTGCTGAGTGTTTCTTCTGAAGAAACAGTGTCTATTCAGTAGTGGTGGATATAAAATCATCTTGGAATGGTTTCAAGACAAAAGAACTCAGGTCTGATAAAACTGCCTCTCTTAATTGAAAATAAAAGGAAAGGATTCTGTGAGATAATTCAAGGCTCTCCCAGTTTATGTAACTGTCTCTGAATACTAGATGATGGTCTGGGTGCTGCAAAAAAAAAAAAAAAAAAATCAAAGAATTGAAAACAGGACTGGTGGTGCAGGTTAGTGTGGAGTGCCTACCTGGCATGCAGGAGGCCCTGCATTTGATCCCCAGTACTGCAGAGCAAAGCAACACAAAATGACAGTGACCCACCAAAACAAAACAACAGACCAAAAAAACTTCACTTTTATCTTTGACATGACCTTGCAGCCTATTTTGCTGAGTAGGAAAAAATATCGTAGGTGGTATCTTGTAGATCTGTAAAGTGTTTTTACTGCATTAGAGATGAACACCCTGCATCCAAGATGAAAAAATTTCTGTATGGATAAGGAAAAGTTTTTAAAATGAGAAAGTAACTTCATATTGGTATGGTTTTTGTACTATGGCATCCTGGGCAGGGCAGGAGTTCTAGAGAAAAATAGTTTAGGCTAAAGAGTTGAATAAATAAGGAACATGGAATTGTTTCAACCATATGTGCAACATGTTATATCAGTTTCTAGAATGTCCCCAGAGACGGAAGGGGCCAAAAGTATTCTGATTTATGACAAAATTTGATTGGGTGGAATTTTCAGACTGAAGTGATGCTGAATCCATAAAATCTTGGACAAGTGTCTTGGTTTCAGATCTGGGATATGGGCAATGGTGAAGGTGTTTTGCAAAGTAACCTTCTACCTTCCTTTTGCCTCTTTGTGACTCTTTGTATCACAAAAGCAGCTGTGAGCCAGGGATTGAGAACCTGGAAGTTAATCAGCTTCCCCTTGTTGTTACTGACAACCCAGGTTTGCTCAGCCCTCACACCTGCCTACTGAGAGATCTCTCCCACTCTGTCAGTATTTGTAAACATACTTCCAGGACACTCAGGAACCTTGGAAGAATAAATTTGGGGTCAATGGCTCTGCAGCTTCCTGTTAAACAAAAGGCTCCTGGACATTTGATTTCATTTAGGAATGGCATTCACATTTCATGATTCTATGAACGAGTGCCAGTTATACTGTCTTAGGAAAGGAACTACTTTAGGAAAGGCATGGCTTATGATCATTAGGGTACTGAGTGAGAAGTTTATTTCTCCTATATAGAGGTTTGTGTTTCTTATTCTTAAGTTAAAAGAAAGGTATCTTCAGAAGGTTCCGTATCCATCCCCTCGGGCAGTCACTGCAAAAGTGGGGTAGACCTCATAGGTTGTGTATGCTGCTAGGTCTTGTCCAAGGGTCACTGCTTGCTTGAGCTGGGCTGCAGACACAGGTGCTGTTGCGCTGGGGACAGCGTATCCTAAAAAAGGAGGCAGAGAAAACTTCATGAAAGGCATTCAGATTTGCTCTCTTTGGGCATGTTGTCCTCCTTTAGGAATTTGAAAAATTTTAACATATGGCTTTAAGTTAAATTTAAGAGGAAAAAAGTTAAAAGTAAGTATATATGTTTTAAAAGGTGCTCTCATGGGACACAGTAGATGGGCACACTGAGTTTTAAATGGCATTTGGAAAGCCCTAAAACAGTGATCATCAAAGCAAGAACTGCCTGTGTCACCTGGGTCAGAAGCACTCCATACCTGGAGAATTAGAAACACTGGAGAGAAGATCCAGGAAGCAGAAATGTAGGAGGATGCTGGGTTAATGAAAGTCTGCATTGTGGAGCTTTTCCAGAGTGTCTCGGAAATTTTAAAGAGAGAGGCCATTGAGGGGTCAGCAGGGCATGGTGGCGGTTCTGCTGCACCCCATACACCTGCCAAATTAAACATGAAAAACCATTGCCTTCTCCCAAGAAGGATGTGTAGGCACTGGCTAGATCAGTAGTGGAAATACTGTAAAGTTTTATTGAGTGTCTTCTTAATACCATAAAAGCAGATGTGTACCCTATCCACGTTTGGACCTAACCATAAACAGCAGAAGCCCTATCTTGGGTCCCATCCACCAAGCCTGTCCTTAATGTATTCAGAGCCTTGATACTGGTCCTCACTCTCAGGGAACCAAAGAGTTTGAGTAATAAAGAAAGCATTCATGCTCTCAGTTTATATTATGTCTGGCTGATGTACATTTGTTTTTGAAGAAGAAAACCCAGTAGCCACTGTCTAGAGCTATATTTCTTTGTTAGTGTTTTAGAGCAAAGCCTGGGTGTTTCAGAGATGACCCCCAAATTGTAAAAACGGAGAGAGGAACTTAAGGAATAAGTTGAGTTCTGGTTTAGAATTTTAAAAGTTCTGCTGGTTTATGTGCAGTGGAAGTCTACCCTAGCCCAGACACATTGATTTTTCCTAGTGGCTTCTCAGGAAGTGGTGGCAGGAAGCTAGCTGGACTATGTTTTTAAAGATCAAATTCATACCTCGGTTGTACACTTTGGTTAGTAATGCTGGCTAATGCACATGTAAAGTTTGGTATATTTCCCAAAGTTATGAGAAAAATATCAATATTACTTTCATTATTTTGCAAATGGTGCTTCTAAAGTTACAAGGCATATAAATGTATGAGTGTGTTTGTTTAGCACTGATTTTTCCTTTAGAAATGTTGGATTTTCTTTTTTCTAATTTCCAATTGGCTAATTTCTTAACTGCCAGGGCATTAGTGTTTTAGATTCTGTCCTTGGAGTCTATTATTCTTTGCCTGACTCCATAGTAAAGTTATAACAGGCTACCAAATTCTTAGGTATTCATTCCTAAAGCAACTCTCATGCCCTAAATATTTTTAACTTCTTGCTGGAACAAATAAAAGGGAGGATAAAATTAAAAAAAAAAATCTTGGGTGAAAGCAAATCCTTTGAGAAAACTTTAAAATTCCCGTTTGACATGGCTTATTTATTCTTATAGTATATTGGTTGTCTATGGGTGCAGCTTTCTGTATAGTATATTGGTTGTCTATGGGTACAGCTTTCTGCTCGATTCTCCAAGACCTGAGAAGCCTTAGCATAAACCCTGAGTAGAAGGAAAGGTAAACACTCTGTCAGCACAGAGGCTGATGACAGTGCTGCTCAGGGAGGACCTTGCTCTTTGCAGTGGCAGCTGTTGCCTTGGTAACCTTACAGGGTCTCACCACAGAGCCTCTCCATGTTCTTACAGAGAAACAAAGCTGGAATCGAGGTCACATTTGTGTGTAAAACATGATTATCTTTAGCCACATGTAACAGAATGGAAGACATTCACAGTCTTTGAGGAATAAAAGAGAGGAAGAGAGAACCGTAGGTGTTCTGGATATGAGGAATATAAAATTCTCCCACCTACACGTGACCTATAATGTGAGTGAATCAATGATATAATTCTAGCTCTAGCAAAAACTCTCAAATTTGAGCATATGGAGGGGGACATGCTGAAACAATGACAGGACAGAACAATAATTTCTTCAAGAGAAATAGAAATTTTTACTAAAAAGTAGAAGGGTTAAACTAGCTGCTATGAAAAAAATTCCTTGCTTGGTCCTTTCTGATCTCTAGAGGTTTCATTTTTAATGATTACCCTTTGTCGTGAGTATATAATAAAGTGGGAAGTCCTTTAAATATGATTCCCGAGGACATGTTGATAGAATTCATGTTAAGCAATCAGCATATGCCCTAGACCAAAATTAGAGAATGATAAATTGAGACCTCATGGTTCACACATTGAAGAGTCTTTGTCTTTCATACACACACATTTAATTTTTTACTAAAAATGATTTTTTAAAATGTGATACATGCATCTTTTTCCAGAAAGTAAAGTAATAAAATTAGATAGAAGACTAAAATTGGAGAGGGAGCTCAAGCATTGCTAAAAATCTAATTGACATTGGCCCAATTACTTCATCTAGTACCTGGGTTCTTTTATCTGTAAAATGGACATCATGATTTAACCTAAACCAGTGGTGTCATATTGTAAAGCTTGTGAGCATTAGAGTGTCTCATTCAGTAACACCCCCTATTAATAGATTGTCCCAAAGTCTCTTACTAAAAGGGAAAACAAAATGTCATTCCAGACTCAGAGAGATTGACTCATTCAAGATTTTGCAGCTGCTTTAATTTGAGCTGAGTTGAGAACCAACTCTGCTGCCTTGCTCAATTTCCTTGCCTCATGCTTGAATGGTTCACTCAGATGGCAAACCCTTTTTGTTTCACACATGGTGCAAGTAGGCTCTATGGAGGTGGAGTTCACAAACTATTCTATGAGCACTTGACAGCAAGAAGGGTTTCCCAAACACTCTCTGGCATGATTTTTCCTTACCTGGGAAAACAGCAGCAGACGCAGCAGCAGCAGGCATTGTCCCCACGTCACCTCCATCGGTGGGGATGCCCAGGGTCTGCAGGGTGTACTCTGCTGCGTATGTCTTCGCTTCATCCACATAGGCACTTAGCTTCGGAGGTGTGAAAGGGTGGCTGGAAAGCACAGCCAGAGTAGGAATTTTTAACCTTGTGTACTGGGGTCAGGTGAAAACCTAAGGTACTCTTAGTTATTATTATTTTTTTTATTCTGATTGGCTATCTGCTGACCCCATTAGAACTTTAAGATGATTAGATGATGCATTTTGTATGGTTATTTTTTTTAATAATCTTTGCTATTAAAATCTTCTAAATATATGTGCATGTAGGGATATACGTGAATTGACCCAATTGCCAGTGGTCCGTGACATTCTTGGGGCATACTTTATAATTTACTACAGCACATGTGAAACACAGTGGTTCCTAAAATATCCATAAATGCAAACTTGAGATAAAATCTAGAAGGTGGTATCCACTAACAGAGAGGTCATGTCTTCGGTCCAAAATTTTAAATGATGAACCTGGATGTGGTGGCATATGCCTGTAATACCAGTGACGCAGGAGGTCGAAGCAGAAGTAACTTAGAGAGACCCTAAGCAACTAATGAGATCCCGTCTCAAAATGAAAAATAAAAAAGGGCTGGAGATATAGCTCTAGCTTGGTATAAAGTGCCCCTGGGTTAGATCCCCAGCACCAATAAACAAACAAATGAATAAATAAACAAAATAAAAATAAAAAGTTAAGTGATAGAGCAAACATTATACATAAAAATGGCAATTTCATATGGTTCAAACTAAATACAGATAAAAGAACTGGCTATAGTTTTTCATTTCTTTCTCATGACCTACTGGTCTCCATTGGTTGATTATATTACACAGTTTTTGTTGTCTATAGGAAATTTGAGGCTTTTTGATGCAGGCTTCATAACTGGCACCTACATCCCAACTATATATCTCAATGTTTGCATTTAATGACAAATTAGTAGGTAATAGACTTGAGAATTTATACTGTTTAGATAATGATTAAATAAATATATTAAATTTACAAGTGGATCTTATTCTAACAATTTGGAGAAATTTACATACATTGCAGGATTCTGACTGGCCAGAGCAGGAATAGTTACTTTGAATAAAAATAATTGTCTTTGGTCTTGTCCAATGGCAGAATGCAGCTGGTACACTGGCTGGCCCCAGTTATTTTTCTGACAAATTTCTTCTAATATCTGTAAGAGTTAAAAAAAAAAAGAAACAAAAAGATGATTTCTCCCTCAAATGTCACATTTGCATTATTTTTCTAGTTTCCAGGTTTTAAACTCTGATCTCCAGAGTTTAAACCAATATGAGAAGATAGAAAATGCTGCATGATTTAATGACTCATAAAATTTAAGTTGAACTCAATTTGAACTCCATTTAAAATGTTATATCTATTAGTTCATAGAATAATTTTTGCACCATTTACTCTAATAAGCTTTTAGTTTAGTCCATTAGCTGTAACTTTTTACTAAGAGCTTAATTTCATGACTTGTTTGATATATTTATTTCATCTATCTTAAAAAAAACCCTGCTTTGCACCAATGTGTGGATACATTTACTTATTATTACCCTCAAGTCCTCTGTTTATAGTGGTTTAGAGAAGATAAATGAAGAATATATTCTTATTTAATGTCTTTTGTCATAAGGCATATTTTTTTAAAAAAAAGTTGGTGAAAAGTTTTATGGGTTGGTACTTATTGATGAGCATTGATAGATTAGTGTTGATAGTTGCAACGTTTGGCAACACTTTGCTTTTGGATATCTTTATGATGACCTGTTTTGTTTTGTTTTGTTTTTCATCCTTTGCATGTTTTCATTTTTTCTTGTGTAATTACACCAAACTGAATCTTTTTACTTTCTTCATCCAGAAGTCATTCCAGAGAGGTTCTGATCAGCAGAATCAGTATACTGTGCAAAACAGGCACCAGTCTGAGAAAATAACTCTTGAGACAGAACGGTGCCCCAGGATGTGTCTCTTGGCACTTCTTATCTCATTTGTTCTAACACTAATCTAGCTGTGTGGCATGACATTTTCCAGCTTATTAATTTGTAGATTGCTCTTATTTTCTCTGTTAACTCTTTTTCAAAACATTCTTGTAGCAGTTCTTGTCATCTGCAAAGCATTCTCCGAGGTTCCCATGCAATAATAAATTAGCTCTTGCTGGAGGATAGTCAGTCTGCCTGTTTATGCAAGTGAGCAACATGCAGTCAGAGTGACCACTCTAACTACTGACCATGCAGGACAGGAGCCTCTGCTCTTCTGCTTAGGGGTTCTAAATGCTACTACAGGGTATGAATGTTACATGGTCTTTAACTTCTCAACCATAGCTGCTAACATTCAGAGATAAATTAATTAAAGACCTTTCTTTAGGTGATACACACAGTTATTCACAGATTAATATAAAGCATGGCCAACTTCTAACCTGAGTTTTAATGTAAAAAGCAGAGATCTTTGCTCATGCTACAGCAGCTCTCAGAAATACTATACAGAATTTATTATTATTGCCTTTTAAGATGTTCTTAAATGATTTCCATGAATACCAGAACTTGGAGTTTTTAATAAACTCTCTTGGGTTTTGACTCAAGAGAGATATTTTCTCAGAAATCTTTATCATGTCACCTACCTAATTTCTCTATAATTATGTGTTGGTATCATCCCATTTGATTGCCATATGAAATTTGATGGTTATAATAATTTTTTTCTCTAGCACTTAAAACAATACACTGTTCATAAGAGAAGCCCAATTAAAAAAAATAGCTGATTGTCACTCTGATAGGCATTCTTTTAAAAACAAATTGCCTGCTGGGTGCAGTTGTGCATGCATGTAATCCCAACAGCTGGGGAGGCTGAGGCAGGAGGATCGTGAGTTCAAAGCCAGGTTCAGCAAAAGTGAGGTGCTAAGCAACTCAGTGAGACTCTGTCTCTAAATAAAATACAAAATGGGGCTGGTGATATGGCTCAGTGATCAAATGCCCCTGAGTTCAATTCCTGATATGCCTCCCTCCCCCCAAAAAACCCAAATTGCCTAAATAGAGTTAGCAGAAACTTTAGATGAACTTAAGCTGTGGTTATTCAGCCAAAGTACAGTGTAGAGAGATCAGCATATAATGCACACCCATAGGGAACAGTCTAGGGTTAGCATAGATTCTATTTTGTCTTATTTTCAACTCTGGAATTCAGTTTTCACACTGAAACAAACTTTATAACTTTCAATTTTCATTTAAGAAAGACCACAGCCTCCTTCAGAAACATGGAAAGTTAGAACTGTTAGATGATTGCAAAAAAACTTCACCATAGTGCCACTACACATATATGATCATTGTAGAAGACTCGATTTGATATGACTGATGGCATGTTATAGTTAAAGATTCACCTAGCTATCATGGAATAGCTTTCTCTTAAACACAGTATTTCTAAGAAAAGATGTCCTGATTGGTCTATTTAGAGTTCCCTGCCTTTATACTCTTCATTTGCCAACTGAACTGGTTCACACACACAGACATTTATTCTAAGCCAGGATGTTTGTCTTGTTTTATTTCAATTTAATATATTGGTTGACAATTCTTAATAGCTCTTAGATTCTTTGCATTTCAGAGGAAGATGATTTAAGATTAAAAAATAATGAAAGGGCCTATAATGGAAAATGACACTCAATGCCCCATATCCCCTCAAATTACATGATGTTGGCTAGCCACTTTATCTAGTAAAACATAACCATAGCCCAAGTAAGGATCAAACCCAATCATTTGATGATAGGTGTATGATGATCATTGGCCCAACTTAAAGAAGCTATATCTGCAATTAATTTACCTACCTGGGGAGCAAGTTTAATTCCTTGGGGTTTTAAAGTCACAGGATTCATGGGGGTGAGCTCCATCCCAGGTAAAATATCATAGAGTTTGTCTTCTCTCTTGTCTCCTTTGACTTGGTATCCACGGCCCAGGCCTGTGTATGCCAAATAGCCACGGCCGCCCAGTCCTCTCACTCCCGCAGCCCCTACAGGTACATTCATGTAAATTTCTAGGAATGTAAGAAGGCATTAAACTGAATCAAACCACCAGAAAATCACCCTGAATCTTACTGTAATGGAAAAGTTAGCCCAACTCACATTGATTACAACCTCAAAGATAGGTAGAAAACTCTAGGAGTCTAATGTGATGAAACTCAGCCTAAATTAAGGCTCACCGTAGGCATCTCTGTTTTATAAACTACCTGAAAGTAATACCATCAGGGCTTCTGATAAGCACATGAGCAATTTAACAACTTTGGTATAAAGAGAAACTTTGCAATTCTTAATGTTTTTCTGAAGACTAAAGTTTGGAAATGTGTGTATTGAACATTTCAACATAATATGACCACTTGTATTGAAACCAGTCTTGCATATAGACTGTCACTGATCAGAAAATCAGAAATGAATTCTAGCTTCCCCAATTATCCTACCCCTAATGGCTTAATGGGAAACCAATATATAGAGAAAACGTGTTTTTAAGATCATCATTCTCTTTCTGATATTCTGTCAATGTGAGTCTTAAATTTCCATTGAGTTTCACACATAGATTCCTTTTGAGTTTTTTTTTTTTGCCATGTTGTTACTTTGATTTCCTCTTGGTGGCATAAAGAGATTAAAAAAAAACTAAATTGATTACCCTTCATCCATGAATATTATTCATTGATTCCTTTCTTTTTATAAATCATATATATTTCTCTTAGAGTCTTTTTTCTACATCACAACTGGTTGACAACTTATATTAATATATGGCTTGCTTAATGATATATTTTAGATTATATATCTATGACGTTTCAATGACATAATTTATTATCATATAACATAGAAGTTCTTCTGTAGGAAGACCTGATGATTTCTTTTGTATTACAATTTTGGCAGGGATGATTATGAATGTAGAACTTTTAAGCCTATTGAAGGATAGAGGTCCTAAAATGCTCAATTCAGTTATACTGAAAAATTGTAAAACAGTAATATGTTTGTCTCCACAGTAACATGGGTGTGTCTCCTTACTTCTAAGTTGAACCCAAGAACAGATCTAAATACAGAGTTTGTAGTTATTGCTAAGATTGATGTCACATTTGGAAAACTGGACTGGGATTCTGCTGGCATTAGCCACATTCTAGCACAACCACACTTATCTATCCTATAGGAAGAGACAAACCAATTGCTTGGAAATGAAAAATGTTGTTCTCATCTTCTATATTACTTGAACAGACTGAGCTCAGAAAACTGCTTGGGAATTCTTATAGGATTCAAACATGAAATTATTATGGTCTGGAAGTTGGGCTGAGTTTGTTTTTCTATTTGGAGTTTAATAGTTTCGCATACACTAAAGAAATCAGTTGATTTCCTTAGTGATTGGCTTTTTGAAGGCATAGTGTATATTCATTAGGAGAGGTCAGATGACAGTATCCCATCAATCTATTAGACTATATTTATGGTGATTTGTAATTTATGATAAAGATGATGCTACTCAGTCACCATCAAGTACATAAAGCCTTAAAATGTTTTTTGTTATTTCAGGTAATCAATTTCCATTTTGGACAATACTACTTTGCCTTAGAAGTTTGTTGTTGTTATCGTTGTTTTACTGTGGATTGAACCCAGGGGAACTTTGCTACACAGCAACATCCTCAGCCCTTTTTATTTATTTATTTGGTACTGGGGATTGAATTAGAGGCACTTGACCACTGAGCTACATCCCCAGCCCTATTTTGTATTTTTATTTAGAGACAGTTGCTTAGTCCCTTGATTTTGCTGAGGCTGGTTTTGAACTCATGATTCTCCTGCCTCAGCCTTCAGAGCTGCTGGGATTACAAGCATGTGCCACCACGCCCAGATCTTTTTATTATTTTATTTTAAGATAGGGTCTCCCTAAACTGCTAACACTGGCCTTGAACTTGTAATCCTCCTGTCTCAGACCATGTCCTGCCTTTGGAAATTTTGTAATTAGTACAAGATGGTGGAACTAGGTTTTAGTTCATGCAAATTTTATGGGTCTGTGCAAAGATCAAATTTGAACACTAGTTTCATTTACACAAAGTTCTGATCAAGGTTTTTTAATTACCAGTTGTAATGTAAAAAAAAAAAAGATTCCTATGAAGTGAGAGCTATTGATATATTTGATTTTTAATATACATTTTCCAGTCCTTTTCTTCCAGTGGTCACATCCAATTGGTCTAAGGCTATTGCACTACAAATCATTTGAAATCCTGGAGTTACTCTAATACAGGAAATGATTGGTGTTACCTCTAACAGAAGGGGCTCGGATAATGGCCCTGTTGTTGAGGTGACCTTTTGTGGCTGGGAAATGAAGACTGGGAATTGCTGCATAGGCCTGGGGGGCGTAGAAGACAGGAGCTCCAAGGTAGGTTGTGGTGGGATCATAAACATGGCCCAAAGAGTAGGTGTACTCTCCTTGAAGCATGGTGCCCCTTCCACCTGTGCCTCGGGTATACCTAACATAACTGTCCTTGTCCACTGGTTTGGCTAAGGTCACTTCAATGGGGGAACCATCCAGCACCTGTTGTAGAGAGCAAGGAGAAAGCAACATTAAGAAGATATTAAGACAATCAAGTGTGGCTGAGCCCTAAAAACATATCTCCTTCTGAGTGCTAGAGTATTTTCTGTATATTTACTGACTGATTCAATTATTCATATCTTGTGTCTTTATAGATTCTTATTTGTATGCCACTTGATTTTCTCTGAGTGGTTTTGTTGGTAAATTGCATAAGGTGCCAACAGGTTTGACAGTGGCATACTGACTACTGTTCATTGATATATTGGTTATGAATTTAAAATCTAGAGATAGAAAAATTATGAGATGGAAAATTATGTAGCATCTCTATTATGTGAGATATATATTTTAAAGCACATATTTATATAGTCATATAGTTACCAGAAATTTTAGGTTCATTACGGGTGAAATATAATTTTTACTACATGACATAATAAAAAAAAGGTGAAGGAAGACAACAAAGAGTTCTTATCACTTGTTAACACTGAGCTACTGTGGGTTCTTTAGCTAGGCCTTGTCAGCTATCAGGGAGCCAAATGTCTTGCTCATTAGAGCCACTACACAATAGGTCATTTTCACTGGGGAAGAACAGAGGCTCAGGCGGGGCCCAACTCAAGGAATAGAAACCTATGAGGCTATGCATTTTCTCCCACAGATACTTCCTTGTGAAAAAGAAATTGGATCCACTGAGCAATTGGGAACTAATAAACAGGGTTGACAGGGATTGTGATTGGGAGATGGGAGCAGTACTGAGAATTCTCCAGTCATGAGATGCTTAAAACATGCCCTCTAGAGTTATTGGAGTAGCCTTTCTCTGATGCAAGTTTCTGAAATTGCATACAACTCCAGATATTGAAGATAATGGCTGTGTAGGTCTTCTGTGTAACTTACTCCTATATACAGTTTGCCTACCCATGAAACAAAGATGTCTCTCAACAAATACTTGATAGATTGATGTATTTTCTTGTTTAAAGGACAAAGTGTTGTCAGAAAACACTCATGGCTTCTTTTCAATAAGAAAACAACCAGTCTCTATTTTACACAAAGAATGTAAATAACAGAAAGTGTTCCTGCAAAAATTTCTGTTCACAGCAGCTGAGTGTACATCCTTATCCTTCAATTTCATGAGTGACTCAGTGGTTTCTGGCTTACTGAAGTATGCTGGACAAAGCTTGTGCCTCACAGTCATCCTGATATTTTCATTAGCTTCTGCAGCAACTTTCCCTTGTTTCATGTATCTACCTTAATTTTCAAATGCTCAATTCAGTTCTACTGAAAAATAGTAAAACAGTAATATGTTTGTCTCCACAGTAACGTGGATGTGTCTCCTTGCTTCTAAGTTGAACCCAACAATAAGTCTAAATACAGAGCTTGTATTTATTGCTAAGATTGATCCAGTGTCAAATATAGACAGAATGGACAAAACCCAGTTGATACTCAACAATCATATATTTCTGTAGATGTAATTGGAAGAGACTTGGAATGCTGAAGGAAGGGGAAGGACTTAGGTATAAGACTCTTTATATCTTTCGCTCTGTCTTGAAGAAAATGAGGTACTCATATAGGTCTCTGATTATAAGCACTTCCATATCAGAAAATGTTTTGAATGAAATAGTCACTGGCAAGTCATATTTCTTACTGTATAGATTTTTCTCTGCATTTCTCTGCCCTCTTCAACAGCATATTATACACAGTATAGTATTTTAGTTGTTGAGTTTAGATATTTGAATAGTCGGAACAATGTCTTATTGATCAGTAGACCCCAAGCCCCCCTCCCCAATTTTTATCACCTCAGAGATACACATAAGTATTTATAGAATAAGTGAGTAATCATGTTCAAAGCTAAATTCATCACATTTTTCTCCAAAATAGGCTTTTCTTCCTGACCCCCCTAGTCTGTCATTATGGAAAACTTATAATGACTTCTCCTTTTTCATCATCTCTAGTCAGTTACTACACTTTGAATTAACTCCCCCGGAGTTCTGCATAGAGGTCTCTATTATATTCCATTTTCATCTTAGTTCAAGCCCTTATTTTGATGATTGTAATAGCTTTATAACTAGATTCCATCATCTCTTTCTTGCCACTCAAAAAGTCAACTCTTACTAGGTTAATTTCTCCAAATTATATATGATCATTATTCTACCTCACAAAGAAACTTCAAAGTCTCATCTTCTTTAATAAATGAAATGTAAATACCCAGAGTTGAAATATTAGGCCTACATATGTCCTGGGAAAACTTATTTTTGATTTTTTTCTTGCTACATTATACTTAAATATAATATTTGATCTATATTTGCTAATAATATTAAATATAATTAACTCTATATGTGAACACTACTGTGAAAATATCTAGCTGCAAAATTGACAATAATTTGAATACTTTTCTGCCATAATTATTCCAATATAATTACTTAGCCTTTAATTTACAATTGGCTTTAGCTTCGGCTTCTCAGCAATCACGTATACTCAGAAATATTTCCTAATAGAGAAAAGCTAACTTACAAATTGTTTTCAATGTAATAACATAAACATGTCACACACATTGAATATATCCTATGAATGAATATGTCAACATATATGATGTATTCATGTTATTACTTTGAAATAATGGTTTGTTTCATAGGCATGTAGGTATGTATTTAAATATGCATTACCTTTTGCTTTTCAGTGCACACTCTCTTAAACATTTTTGAAGGCTTCAGGCTGTCTGAAGATACCTGGGCTGGAAAGTCTCCCATTTTCCCCTCCAGATCAACTCCCCACCAATCTCCACCCTGCCCTATGCTCTGGGAGACTTCTCTATATGGCTCCTCTCTAGGGCTTGTGACCTTCTGTATAATCACTGGACTTGGCCACTGAGGAACATTGACAGGCAGGTAGAGAGAAAAACAACAGTGATTTGCGGGCATATATTCTCCTGGATCCCTCTCTCAGAGGCTACCTTGGACTGGTTGTATCCTTTAACCAAAGGACATTACACCTTTCAGACAAGACTGAGCCCGTTCAAGATGATATGGCCCTAAGTCACTATGCCTTTTGAAAAGACCAACTGTACCCACTTCTTTTTTCTTTTAGGATTTCTATTAATGCCCCAGTCCCGTGTGCCTTTGACTTCAGGAGTACTGTGAGCCTCAGGTACAGATACTATCTCTTTTAATTTCCCTACTCCCCACTCACACATCTGTAATTAATTCCTTTGACAATGGTTTTCTTTTGGTATCCTGACAGATGCAAGACTCAAATGTAAAACAGCCCCAAGTGCATTATGTTTTAACTACATTGCTTATTATTATCCAATTTTGCCTTGCTATGCCCAATTCTGGCCTCTAAGACTGAGTCTCCTTTCCATATTTTGTCTTTTGAAATTAGATCCAATTTCTAAGGCTTCTCCTTTGTATTATCTTCTCATGTCCATGAAGATTTTCTGGTTCTTGATGACCCACTTCTTCATTTGAACTTTTTTACTGCTTTTCTATCTCTTTTTACGATACTCTACCTAACTATGCTTTGCATAGGTGTTTGTGTGTGTCTCTTATTCCTCCAGGAGAATTCTGGCTCTTTGATAAGTATTTTGGGTTTGATTCTCTTTGTGTCCCAGATGATATTAGTAGATAGTGTGTTTTAGTGTTTATTGGACTGATGTCAATACTAAATTGGTTTCTACAGACAAATCAGTAGTAAGGATATAGATGTTTGTTTTCCTTCAGATATTACTCTTGGCAAGGTGGGAGATTCTAAGCCATCCAGAGTTGGCAGATCAAACTCTGAAGGTAGAATGACAGCTATCTTGACATTTTATAAAAGGGACCGTTGGCTCTTAAAATACTGTACTAGAAAGTACAATAATGAGAGAAATTTGGAATTGGGTGGGGGGAGACACCTTAAAGTAATTAAGTCTAATTCCCTCTTTCTAAGAAAATTGTGGGCCAGTCATTTGTTCAAATCAGAAAAATAATTAGATGCAGAACTGGACATATTAGCTCCATCTCCATTCTCCACTGTATGTTTATCATTTTTCTTCTGTGCATCTTAAGGGGACTGCAGAAGCTATGTAGGACATGGGGAAAGATGCAGTGCAGTGGACTCATTGCTCTATTGAACAGGAATCTGTGCATATTTTATCCTTTCTCCTACATTACCTTCCCGTTTAAAGCTTTCATAGCCTCAACTGCATCTTCTCGGTTACTGAAGTGCACAAAGGCATAGTCTCGGATTTTTTTTACCCTCTCCACCGCACCTGAGAAGAGAGTGAAAGTAGCCCAATTAGCAAACTTGAGACAGCATTGAAATGATGCAGTTAGCTTCTGAGAGTGCACATAAGGATCTTATCAGGAATCTTGTGTGTCCAGGCTTAAAGTTCTGCAAATTTCAAAGATTTTGTTTGTAAGTTTAAAACAACACTTGCAGTGTGACTTGTTATAATTATCTGTGGATTCGTGTTTTCTACTTCCTAAGATTTTTAAGGGCAGAAATGGCAGCTTACTTTGCATTTTATATAAATGATGATATTATATGCAATGGTAAAATGCCATTGAATTGAGTTGAACTCAACTATTGGTTATCTTACATATTTAGTTGATTACCTTTTTGAAGTTTTATGCTATCCCTCTGAAATATCTTATTTCTTTTGACTATATAATAGAATTTTAGAGCTAAGTGAAACTTTAGTAATGATTTTAATTTTTTATTACTTTTACTATACTTATTTTTACTTATATGTTAGGAAACTATGATTCTGACAAGATAGGTGATGTTTATCTTCCACATAGTCAGGATCTAGAACTAGATCTTTTATATCTTACCCAATACTCTTTAAATTAAAAAAATAATAATAAAATTGCTTCTGAAGAACATCTGAGATTCCTCCCATGCTATAATGATGATATCTAAAGGTTGGAAATCAAGTAGGTATCTATTAGTTCTATTTTGAGGAATGTTTCATATAGAAATAAAATTTGCATTAAGATTATGCATGAGTAAATCAATTATACCACTCCTGAAACAGCAAAAACAAAATAGCTTAATATACATTTTTTATGGAGTGACTAAATCTGGTACATTTATACCAATATCAGAGTCTTCAAAGGGAACAGAATGGACCTGTGGGTACTTAAATGGAATATTGAGACCCACTGTTTATTTATTTATTTATTTACTATATTTATTTTTTAGTTGTAGTTGGACACAATACCTTCATTTATTTATTTTCATGCGGTACTGAGGATTGAACCCAGGGCCTTACACATGCTAGGTGAGTGCTCTACTGCTGAGCCACAACCCTAGTTCCCACTGTTCATTTTTAAAAGTTACAAAATACTGAAAGAATGACAGTTGCATGAATGAATTGAATAAGGATGAGGTATGGGATCGTAGAGTTGTTAAATTGAGGATCTCCTACCTACTGGTTGTAGGACCCTAGGTAAGCTACTTTACTCTGGGTTCTGGTTTTCTTATCTAGAAAATAGAGGAACTAATACATTAACATACATTATTGGGTCACTGTGATGAATAAGTTACACATGATGTAAAAGTGCCCACTGTAATGCCTGGCAGATAGTGACCAGCCAGCTGTTAGCAGTTTTCTATATTAGCCATGAATTTGTAGGTGTTAGTATGCGCTCACACCATAATATTAAAGTATCAGGGAAGACTGAGTTCCTGAGGCTGAAGAAAGACAAATCTTTGGGGAATCTTTAAAAAGAAAAAATGACATCCTTGCTAATTAACTTCAGCGTGAATCATCAGCTTATTATTTTATTATGCCCAAAATAGCACCCAGAATCTGAAACAGACAATATGAATATATGCAGTGAATATTCTCAGGCAGTTTAACATGGTAGCATTGTGGCCCAGGCTTATCAACATCCTAGAGTATTTTTGTGGAGACTTAGACATTCTGTCATGGAAAAATGTTATTACTGTGCTAAAACAGGCCAATATTGCCAAGAAGATGTCCCAAGATACACTAAACCTCCAAGATAGCCTGCCACAAAAGAGGATCCATGCTCCAAAAGTTTGGGAAATGAGGTATCCCACATCTCTTCTTGAGGACTTTCAAGCATGTTAGAAGGATAATGACTCTAAGTCCCATAATAAAGAAATCTGCTTAATTTTGCAGAAACTGGTGTTTACAAACTTATTTGACCAGGGGACCCTTTTATCAGAAACATCTACTAACATTTTGTAGATGTGATGTTCTGTATTAGTTTATGCAAATGTTCATTTCTACACTGTTTCTTGAAATGCTTTACCAGTCTAAGTGTTATAGCTTCCATATTGAGAAGAAAGAGATGGAGAGTCAATCTTGTAGTTTATAATCGACATTGAAAAATATTGACAAGATAATTAGCAACTAGTTATTCCTTTTTGTTGGAACCTTTCCTTGATTCCTTTTCCTCCCTCTTCACCCAGTTTCCAAAGATTGTCACTGCCTTACTTTTGCACCTGAAGTCAAAAGTGTATTCCATTACAATAGTGGTTCTCAACTGGGGGTGGTTTTGCACACTCCTGGAGTATATTAGGCAATATCTGGAAATACTTTTGGTTGTTATGGAGGAAACTATTGGTGTCTACTAGGAGGAGCCTGGGCTGCTGCTGAATATATCCTACCATCTTCTGGACAGATCCCCATTATCAAGAATCATCTATTCCAAAATTCCCTTAGTGCTAAAGTTGAGAAACCCTGCATTAAACCTAGAGTTATGGCCATGAACTCAATAACACAGCCAATATTTATCGAACACTTATTATATTGCTGGCCTACAGACTGAGTGTCTCAGGATTGAGGACATAACAAAAGGAAAAAGAACTTATATTCATGGAATTGCTAGTTTAGTGAAGTAAATGTGGATTCATTACTCACACAGATAAATACATGATTATAATATTGTTAAATGTTGTAGAACCATAGGTATCACTTTCTAATCCAAAAATGGGAATATAGCTTGAGTAATGTACATTCAGTTATGAGAATGACCTCAATAAAAGCTATTCTCTTTAAAGTTATCGGAAGCCACCTGAAGCATAAGCTTGTAAAGTATGTTTTGAAAAAGTAACCTTACATGTACGTCCCACCTGGTCTAATATTGTTGAATTCCTTTTCAATCATCTCTTCAGAGGTGGACAGCATAAGATTTCTTACATATAGGATTTTCACGGAAGACATGGTGTCTTCATCAACTTCTACTTCCGGCTCTGCCCAGTCTACTGCAATAGGATGTCCCCATAACTGAATTCTTCCTGTGGAAAATGATCAGATGTACGGTACATTATTTAGAAATAAGGACAACATTATCTCAGTTCATGCTGATGTTCTTTTAAATTGAACTGACCCTTGAGGTCTTGAATGAGCAAGACCATTTAAAGAGGTTATTGTTGATTTTAAGACATTCAAAAAATGTAAAAGTTGGTTAGAAGTGAGTTCTGTGTGACTAGTGGTTTATTATAATGATTGCGTATAAAAGGAAATAGGTTGTGGTTTGAAATAGAAACAGTAGACATGTTTGGGTCTTAAGATAGATCTTACAGGGTAAAAAGGTAGCTGTTTAAAGGAACAAAGAAAAAGGAGAGAAAGGCCAAGAGTGGATTGAGAACTCAGACACAGAATTTGGCTTCCTGAAACATTAAAAAGGTCAGTAGAATATGTGTCTGCTGCTATTGGAATCTGTGTTGTTATCTGGCCCAGGCACCATTTGAGATGTCTAACAAATGGTACTTGGGCAAGAGTGGGTGGGACCCAGGGACCCACTCACCCCTAGTTTGTTCTCTACTCCTTATACTTGGTCAAGGCTCCAAGCTACTGTGTTTCCTGCCAATTTTCTTTTAGAACATGGGTAACTTGGGAATCTGGAGAAAAATAATTTTTTAAAAAATCCTAATTAAGAAGAGAGATGAAGAGCAATCAATGAAAAAGTGTATGATAAGAATTATGTTAAAAAACATTAAACTAATAGATTATTTTAAAATAGTTTTCACAGTATAATTTTATAAATTTAAAACTTAAGTATTTGCATTACAGCAAAAATTCACATATATTGTGTTAACTCACTTTTACAATTTAGTGATGTGAGATAGCTAAGCATCAGCACCATAAAACTGTTAAGATCTGTTCCTGAAAATTCAAGGAAATAATTCTAAAACACTAAAAATTCTGACTGAATACTAACCCAGAGTATCAATAGTTTTGAAAGCTATAATTCAGTGAATGGTTTTCAGAGTTACCAAAGTTTTTGTTAACTATAGAGACAAAGCTCTTTCATTACTCAGTCTGAATAAACTTTCCAATAACTTCCCATCTGTCAGCATCTCAGGATTCACAAAAATGGAAAGAACTACAGGTATTCAGTATAATTGCTATCTGTAATTCAGATTCACAAAGATATTTATTCTAGCAAAAAATCAAAAACTGTGTTAGAAAATTGCTCTTAAAAAAATACAGTTACTAGGGATTTAGCCGCAAGTCATGTACATGTTGGACAACTGTTCTACCACTGAGGTACATCTCTAGCTTAGAGTGGGATTAAGTCATAATTTCACTGAGGGTCAGCTCAGTTACGACAAGAAATCTGACTCTCCTTAAAGTGTAGTTGCTGTCCAGGATTACATATATTTTTTTATTTCTATAGTAATCATTTATTAAGTATTTTTCTCTATGTGCTTTCTCAGTTCTTTCTTACCATAGCCTTGTGGGGAAGAGGATGAATCCCAGTTTTACAGAAAAGGAAAGGAGCTTTAGGGTTGGTAACCTGCCCAAACCTATTTCCCCTCACCACCTCTCTCCTTTGGTTTTTGTGGTTCATTTCTTTTACGTCTGTGAGTTTCAGATTCTTGTCACAATGGTAAGAAGGTGAGACTCAGTTCTGAATTTGATGCTAAACTTAGTTCGTTCGTTTGTTCGTTCTTTCTTTCACTTTTTAAAGTTTATTCTGTTTTATCACCCTCAAAATACAGCAACCCCAGAGTTAGCCCTCAAAGCAGGTGCTCACTGCTCCCCTGGAAGGAATGGATGCTTCTGGAGCCTGGGGCAAATTACCTACTTTGTTTTTATTCATTCTTTGGGAATAAGCTCCATCCTGTGAATAATACAAAGTTGGAGAGAAGAAAGTCAGGACTCCTTAGTAATAGTAAGGATTTATTTATTTATTTAAATATGATGCATAGGAGGCAAGTATTTTCAACCCAGATTCATTGTTTTATTCCTTGGAAAGCACTTGTGATCTTTGACAAAGATTCCAAGAACTCACAGTGAGTACTGAAAAGGCAGTCTCTTCAATAAATGCTACTGGGAAACCTGAATATCCACATGCAGAACAATGGAGTTAACCCTCATCTCAGACCATATAAAAGAATTGACTCAAACAAATAAAACAAATAAAAGGCTCAAATGTAAGACCTGAAACTATGACACTATTAGAAGAAAACAGTGGGTGAAAAGTTTCTTGACACTGGTCTGTACAATAATTTTTTTTAACATGACCCACAAAAGTGCAGTCAACAAAGCAAAAAGAGACAAATAGAATTGCATCTAACTAGAAAGCTCTGCACAGCAAGAAAATAATCAACAGATAATGCAAAGAAAGGGAAAATATTTGTAAACAATACATTTGATAAGGGGTTAGTATCCAAAATATTTAAGGGATAACTCAATTGCAAGAAAACAAATGACCCAATTAACAATGGACAGAAGACTTAAATAGACATTCTGAAAAGAAGAAACACAAATGGCAACAGGCTTAATATCACTAGTCATATGATATGCTCAATATCACTAGTCATCAGGAAAATGCAAACTAAAACAATGAAATATCACTTCACTTTGGGTAGAATGGCAATTATCAAAAACAAAAGATAATAGGAAAGGCAGCAGAATACAACAGACACTAGTATGGCAATATATGTAAATCAATGGACGGTAAACATGTGATTCTGCAATCCGTATACGGGGTAAAAATAGGAGTTTATAACCCACTTGAATCAAAGTGTGAAATATGATATATCAAAAACTATGTAATGTTTTGAACAACCAACAATAAAGAAAAAATAAAAAAAGAAAATGTTTGTCATTTGATGTTTTGCCCTAATCTTATTGGCACAGTTCTTTTTTGTTATATATAGTATCACTTAGAGGAATTAGAATGTGTACATATTAGAAGCACATTATTAATTGTAGGAAAGCTTATATTTCATTGATCTATTTCTCTAACATAGTCTTATTTATTATAGTTCTGCAATAGACCTCAATGTCCAATAGAATAAAGATAAGAATTATTCTTCAAAAAAAAAAAAAAGTAAAATGTTGGCAAGGCTATAGGAAAAAAGGAGAATCCTTGTACAATGTTGGTGTGAGTGTAAACTGGTACAGCAGTTATAGAAAAAAGTATGGCAGTTCCTGGAAAAAATAAAATAGAAACTTCATGTGATCCATGTGATCCTGCAATCCTACTACAGGATAGATATCCAAAGGAAATGAAATCAGTATGTCAAAGAGACTTATGCACTCCCACGTTCATTGCAGAATCATTCTCGGTAGCCAAGATATGGAATCAACCTAAGTGTCTATTGATGGATAAATGGATAAGGAAAATTTTAGAATTTTGTGAGTCAGTTGACATCATACTGGTAGCTTGAAATTAGCCACAATCGGAGTGTTCACAGCATGAAAAATAGGAAAATGCTACCAATCAGGGCTCTTGTTTTTCTCCTGAGAGTAGCTATTCAAGATATACCAGCTCATTACTGACTCCTGGATGTCCCTGGATGACCCTCGGATGTCCCAGGAGGTTACTGTACATGGTCTGGGCCTCGGGATTTTAAAACAGTCCTCAATTAATTAACATGCAGCCAAGGTTGAGTACCACTGCTCTTGCTTTCACCTTCCGAGCCTGAGACCAATGTAAACCATGCCTGGGCTTACAGAGCTGCATAAAGCTGAAGGGAACAGAAATGAGAGCAGACACAGGAAGCAATGATTTCAACAAACATCCATAAAGGGCTGTGGTGGAAGGCAGGGTGCCAGAGTGATTTGAGAACACGGGCTTTGAAGTCAGGTAAGTTCAAAATTGGAGCAATGATCTCGGCTAGAAAACCTACTTTCTAAGCATAATTTTCATCATCTGTATAGCAAAGGTAACTACTATTGTGAAGACAAGAGAAAATGATGCAGGTAAAGGACTCAGTTTATCACTTTTAAATAATTCAACAATATATAGTCCTTTAAAATTCTTTTTTTTCCCCTATTTTTCTTATAGGTATAATTTCCTCAGTATATCTAGTCTTTGAGTACAACAGTTATATGTTTTGTTTTATTATCAGAATCTCCCATATCATTTAGAAGAGAGCATTCTGTGCTGTGGATGCTTAATAGACATTTGTGGGTTGAGTGTTCCTATTTACATCCCATGAAGGTGAGTGCCCAATGTCATTAGCTGGTAAATTTATCAGTGGATCATAAATTTGACTGCACAATTAAGAAAGAAAAAAATTCATGTGATCTGTGCTCAGAATTTTTTCTTAAATACCTCTCTTTTGTTTAACAGTAGACTTCCCATACGGTTGCTAATTACCAAATTCTTTTGTTGCTGAAGAATCTACAGTGGAGTAACAGGGAGAGGGCTCTGAATTGGGTAACAATTTTGTTCTTAGGTCTTCCTAGAAGTAAAACTGTTTGCTCTGGCTGGCTTATACCCTAATGGGCCTCATCTTGTTGGTTTGCTGGTAAGGCAGCCCAACTGAAATCCAGTGGAGTGAAGCCAAACTGAGGTCATCTCAAAGGGCTGTAGTTCAGGGGGTCACCTTCTGTTGTGATTAATATAAGAAGTAGAGGGGGAGAAGAAGATAGCCTCTCTACTGTTGGATTCTGGGTAGGGAATCCATAAGGGAAAGGCAAGGTCTTGGCTGGAAGCCTTAACCAGGTGCTTGAGAATTTTGAAGCCCAGCTACTCAGTCTTGTTTCCCTCCCTTATGTATATAGAAGCTGCTTTTGGGGTCAATGTGCTGTTTTCTTTGAAGAGACATGGAAGTTCTCTGGAGGCTCAGACTTTCCAGGAGCATTGGTTGTCTGGACCTTGAAAACTGTCTTTCACCCACTGAGGACCCTAAGCTCCCAAACTCATTCTGCATATCTGACTTTACCGATAATGAATGGCTGCCCGAATGTGAAATTGATTAACATGGGCAGAAAAAGTGACAGTGTGTTCATCAGGATGTTGGCTGAGTTGAAGGAGGCAGAAATGAACATAGTGGTGTTGGAAAAAATCAGTCCTCATAGAAAGGAGAGATTTTTTTGGAAAATAAAAATATGATGGTAAAGAACTGGTGACATGAATGAAGGGCCTTGAATACCAGGGCCAGAATTTACTCCTTCTCTCATATGCAGCAACTCGTTGGGGAACATTCATGAACTGGCAGGTTAGTGACACCATTCAGTCAGCTTCTTCATAGAGACTAAATTTTCACTTTTTGCAAGAACTTGTTTAAACAATGATAGGATAGCGCTAGTCTAGTGGTAATATTCAGAATGGAGTAGGCAGAACATGGTTGTGTCAAAGAGAGAAAAGAAATGGGAGGCTTTGAAAAAATAATCTAAGGTGGGGAATGTATGTATTTAGACTACATTGGTGGCCTGATAACAGGATGAATACAAGGGACTTTTGAATAATAGGAAGGTCAGTGTTGAAAAGAGAAAAACTGAAGAGGATAGCAAAATTATAAGCCCAGGTCACTAAGACACTTGGATCCCACAGCTATGGACCCTTGATCCAATGACTTGATGTTTAAGTAATGAGAAATGAAGTGGTGAAGAAAAACCTCAACACTAAAGATGTCCACCTTGCCATCAGATTCAGCAGTTTTGGGAGTTAATTTTTTGTTTACTTTAAGTTGTCTTTGTGAAAATATTATTAAAACATCTTTTCTTAGCTCAGAAGCTTTCTTCCAATTTTGAAAATTTCTATAAGGCTAATCCTACAATCAATTGGTGTGTTCTGTTTTTGAGAATGTGTACCAGGGCAGTATAAATCTACATGCTTTTGTTGTTATGTTTTTTATCCTCTCCCATAATTTTCATAAGAAAAGTTGATTCTTACATGTCCATTCTGTCACTCTTGAAATTCTCTTTAATACTTGACAGTGTAATGATTTTTAGTGAACATTTTATTTTAAAATTTAATTCGATTTTGATAATTTTTAATTGTGTATATTGTATAAAATGAGGACCTTCTTTGTGATATTTTCATGCATGCATATAACATATTTTAATTGTACCCATATTATTACCCACTCCAATCCCCCTCCATTTTCAAATAAGCTGAGGTTCATTTTTTTATTGGTGCATTATAATTATACATAATAGTGGGAAGAGCTCAGGATCTTAAAACACTTTTCCCTAAGTTGATCTGACTAAAATAGGGTCTTGGTGGAGTCTTAAATTCAGGAACTTGTTGTTTTTGCCAGAAGGGGACCTGCCCTGTGACTGGAATACCCAACAAAGGTGCCCTTTTAAGAAGGGCTTCTTTTCTCTCATTTAGACGGAAATTATTAGACATCAGGGAGTCCTAATAAAAGTACATCACTTAATTGTCATTGAGATTACTTGCAGTTTTATTATGTCTACTTTATAATGGATAATATATTCTATTTTTAATAAGCCTGAAACATAATTTATATGCAAAAATAACTGATTGTTATATTTAATTTTTAGAAGATTCTTCACTTTAAAGATTCATTAATAGGATTGCTATAGCTTAAAGTTTTAGATTTCTCCAGTGCATGCAAATTAGACCTAAGGCACAGAATGAATGTTTTCAAACTCCATCTGTGCAAACTTCAGGGAACTGAGTCAAGTATGCAATAAATAAGAAAGATGAAAAGTTGAAGATACAACATAAGGATGTAAAAGAAAACAAGAAAGAGCAATCACTGCTTTCTTTGCTCAGAGGGCAGGGCAGCAGCCTGAGGCCCGCCAGTTGGAGAGGAGAAGCCTGTGTTTGAGGAGGGGTTTGCTAACCTGGTAACAGTTTCCTCCTGGCCATGGCAGCTGCCCGATGACTTTCATATTCCACAAAGGCAAAGCCCCGGTTTTTGGTTTTATCGGCAGCACTTGGGTAGACGATGACATCAATGACTCCCTCGGTGACTTTTTTCATCTCCGATAAGATTTCTTCTCTTTTTTTGGTTTTCGGGATTCCCCCAACAAACAATCGGCAGTTGTCCACACTGGCACAGACCCCTAAGAGACGACCATTTCTGCAAAAGAACAGGCATTGTGATTGACAAAGGTCACTGTTTTAACATGATGGTTAAGGTTTACTGTGGAGGTTGTAAATGTATGGCCCTGGGCCAGAGAGGTATTTGGTCTTCATAGTGTTTAAACCATTTATGAAGTTTTTGGCTTCTTTTGGGAGATCAGGAGATGTGTCAGTAATTTTTAAAAATGATGTGAAACTGAGTAGCATCTGTTCTTCTTAGTCCAGAAGTGGATCGATGAGTGGTATCCATGACATTCTCTGATTGGCCCTTAAGGCTGAGGCTGCTACACCTGCCCACATTCCTCATGTCCCCTGCTTGTCCTGCAGGTGTTTGGGGGTGCAACTCTTCATGTTCCATTTCTTTTCCAGTCAAAGGGAGAAACTATTCCAACACAATAGCTATAAAAATTGGTCCCTTGGCTGTAACATCTTTTGCATATTAGCTTATTTGGCTCATAAAAAGGAGCCTATGAAAAGGGCAGAGTAGGTGTTATTTCTATTTCACAGATGAAGAACTTGAGACTCCAAGAAATTAAGTGATTTGATGAAGCTATTATAGATTTGAAAGAATGAAACTGGCCTCTAGGCCCTCAGATCCTGTTTCTTTTGCTGTGAAAAATTGTTTGTTAGCAAAGTGAAGATTACATTTATGATCAGAGGAGAGATGGGTTCAACTATTCCAGAGCACATTTGGGAAAATGGTTTGAAAGTCTTAAGTGTGTATATTATTAGACCAAATAATGCCCCTTATGGGAGTGTGCCCTTAGTAAATAGAGAGGAACACTAAGCTTTTATGCATAGGTATTCATTGTCATTTAGAGTAGCCACCATATTGGAAGTAAGCAACACTTTATAGTAAGAAACTGATTTAATGCATTTTGATTGAGATATCATTGACTTGGTGACTAGATATTTCTTCTTTGTATATTGTGGTAGTTTATCATTCCTGGTTCTTGCCCACAAAATGCCAGTAGCCAACCATCAGGTCATACAAAAATGCCTTCCCCCTTTGTAAATGTCATGAGGGTGACAGCACCTCTCCTGGCTGGGAATCACCAGTAAAAAAGAGATGGACATTTTTTACCAAAAATGCTCTGCAATCATCGAAAGTAGTAACATAGAAGAACACTTATTGATTTAAAATAGTCAGTTTACTATATTCTTCTCAGTTAAAAAAAGTCTGTAAGATAAGTTCATGAGAAGTCCATTTTGATTAAAAATGTAAATATATATATAAAATCTGGAAAGGCAATATTGTGTCAACATAGGGGTTATATTAAGCACTTCTGTTATGGAAGAATTATTTTAACTTTGTACTTTTTAATGTTTACATGTGTTGTGTATTGGGCCACATAATTTTTAAGTTATTAAAAATGGATATAGTATCCTTAACAGAAACTATTCATTAGCCATGAATAAAAGCTCTCAACCAGGTAAGTGGGAGATCGGTCTAATTTTCTGTGAACTAGTGGCTCTAAGGTGTGTGGCAGGGATTCTGACCAGGTTTGGGCCACAGTCCTAGTTGCTTCCCATGCTTTGCTGAAGAACCAGGGACCACATATCAGATCCATGACAAATTCATCTCAGAAAGTTGAGCTTTGTCCAAGGAATATGGTGTCTTGGTGGAGGGAAGGTTGATAAAGTAATCTTCCAATTGTTAATTTTTTTAAAAAAATGAACTTTAAAAAAAGATAAAACCCCCTTCTCTTCTAAGACATTTAATTAGAAATAAAAATGTTTTTAATACTTGGAGGGCTAAACTGGCTATCAGTTACCAGCAGGGGGAGCCTAGAGTTTCTGTTTCCTAATTTTAAATGTATGTGGTTTATTAGGAACCTTCCCAGAATTGCTTGGAGACAGAGTCCTCTTTCAAAAGCTGAGGGCACGACTTTAATGTCTCCAAAAGCCTGGCATCTAGATGCTGTTCAGTCAATATCTGATGAGGAGGAAGATGGTATGACAATGTGGGTAAGAGCTATACAAGGTCCTCTCTCTAGCAGGACAGATCCAAGGCAGAGTGGGAGTCGTGAGGGTGGCTCTGCGATCTCTTCAGCTATTTCATATTCTATTGATCTCACTCCCAAATTTGTAAAGTATTTCTGTGCCTTTGCCTTGCTTCTGGCATCCACCTGAAATTTTGACTGAAACATTGGGTACTAATTGTCTTTCCAAATTCTTTGTCACATTTCCCCTTTTTCTCCCTCTTCCTCTCTCATCACCATCATAATTATCAGCAGACTTTTATAGAGCAGCCAAAGTGTGGCAGGTGCTGAGATTTATGTGTATTATCTCATCTATTTTTCATAATACTCCATGAGGTAGGTATATTTTTATCTTCGTTTCACAGGCAAGACACTGAAATTCAGAGGATACTGCTAATTAATGGTGACCATGGTCGAGTGATCATATTCATTTTTGTATCCTATTTTCAAAAGTATTGACATGCCCCAGTGAGTAACAGTGTTTTAAGTAGATACAACAAATTCTATTGATTCCCTACCTGGCCAAATACACTTGTATCTCAACTCAAAAGCCCTTTTGGGAATAAGTCTTACTATTAGTAAGTCCAGGTTTCATGAAAAAACAAGGATGTGGGGAATCTTTAATCTCTGACATCACATAACTCTAGTATTAAGTTATATACTATATAAAAATATACTATAATACCATATTGATATATATATATAGTATACATATGTTTATAATACTATATATACTATATAATAACTATTTAGCAATGCGTATGTATATTATACATACGTAGACTATAATACTATATGGCAATACATATGTATGCTATATGTACTTATTCTAGCTAAAGTTCCTTTGGACAAGTCCTTTGATTTCTTTGAACATCACTTCTATCATTAACACCTGATCTTGCAACACAGAGAATAGCATACACTAAAGTGCTTTGGAAAGAGCTACACAAAAATATAATACTACATAGCAATGGTTATGTAGTATTATAATACTATGTAGTATTATAATACTATAAATAAACTATACATAAACTCTAATACTAACTACATAGCAAAGCACTTGCTTTCCTTTTCTGCAATAATCTTCTGGGTCTAACTGTCAAAATTTGCAATTGCTATGTAGTATTATACTGTATGTATGTATAATATACATATGCATCACTATATAATATTAGGGTATATCTTAATATATTTTGTGTAGCTCTTTCCAAAGCACTTTAGTGTGTACTATTCTCTGTGTTGCAAGATCAGATGTTAATGATAGAAGTGATATTCAAAGAAATCAAAGGACTTGTCCAAAGGAACCTTAGCTAGACCTAAGGTCTTCTGATTCTTATTTCAAACAATCCCTTACACATTGCACTAAGCTCTTCTGAGTTCAAGAAGGCATGTGTGGGAAGAAAGCCCCCTTTCTGTTTTCTCCAACAGAGAAAACAACTCTGCTCCAAGATCCAACCTTGAGATTGAAATAGCTACGACAATAGTAGTGTCAAATCCCTCTGCTTTTCCTGTGGCTAAAGAGTTTAAGAAAAATGACTGAGTAGTTGATTGACTTAGAGAATTATAAAGATAATGTATGACTTATTTTGGTTTGTTGAAAGTGGGAGAAAAATACACATGGGAAATCTTTCTGCCTTCATCAGAGTTAATAGTCTATCAGTCTTAATGTGCATCTGAATTTCAAAAAGGAAATAGATATGAAAAATTGCACTTAACAGTTGATGACCTGTGCTAATTTTTTTTATCATTTGTTGACTTATTACTGAATCCCAAATGCTGGATTAGACATTGCAAAACATGTATAATACACTCACAATAAAACCTATGAATCACATATTATCCCCATTTTATAGGTGAGGAAGTTGAGGCACAGAGAGATAAAGTTACTTGTTGGCACTGTCCAGTGAAGCCTGCATGACCCCAAAGCTGTTGCTGTTTCACTGCTATACTAATCTGCCTCCCAGGGTGGAGGCCTTTTTTAAGAAGGAATTTATGACAGTTTTTCCTTCAAGTAAAGTTTTTAGAACTTATTCAATTATATAAAGTTAGCTGCTTCCATTTTATAAAAAAAAACAGGTGACTGGTTGCACAGGATCAATTATATCCTGGAACTCTCCTGTAGTTCCTATCTATATTTGGCTGATTCCCAATTTATACTCCAACTATTACCTCTCTCCCGACTCCACTGAGTTCTGAATGCTCTCTCCCTTTAAATCAAATATCTAGCAGGCCTGTCTTCTCAGCCTCCACAGTGCATTCCAGATGTGACCCTGTTTGGTCACTTCCACCAATGACCCCTTGTCCACTCATGGTCATCTCTTGTCTAGATCTAGGCTACGTAGGAGCCTCCTGCATCGCTTCTCTCTTTTAGTTTTCACTTTGCTGTAATCTGTTCTTCAACCAACAGCCCGAGTAATATTTTAAAACCATCCATCTCATTAAAATCCTCCTATGACTTCTGCTTCCTATTTAGATATTATTCAAATCTTCGTCAACAGAGAACAAGGTTCTCCAACTGTGTTGCTCACAACGTCCTTTCTCTCTTTTCTGGAGGCGTGGACTTTCTTCCTGTCCTTCAAACATATCAAGTTTCTCATTTTGGGAAGGTTGCACTTGCTGTTCTTTTCTGTAATAATCTGCTTCTGGGCCTGACTGTCAGGGCTGCAGCTTTTCATGAAAATCTCAGATCAAAATTTGCTTTCCTAGAGAATATTTTCTTAAATGCACCAAATGAAATTAACCAACTACATACATAACCATATCACATCCCTGGTTGATTTTCTTTCATACTATTTTACATAATCTTATATATTTATTTACTATAAAGACAAGGAATTGTACCTTTATGTATTTCCTGTATTTGGAACAGTGCCCAGTACATACTTATGAAATTGATAAATTAGTAAATTTCATTTCTTTGAACATATCACAGAACTTGGTTGGGCCTATCATGAAGCATTAATGTTAAATAAATATTTAACCAGATTTATTTTCACCAAAGAACAGATCTAACATTTAATTTCTGCCTTGACTATATTGTGCATATGCCCTATTGGACAAAGTTGATAGAAAAATAGATACAAATGCATTGTCTGATGCAATTTTAATTTAGAAGATGTCAGTCTTACCTAATTTCATAATTATTAAGTTGCTTGATTGCATTCTTGGCTTCCAATTTATTTGAGAATGTTACAAATGCATATCCTCTATTGTTGCCATTAAAATCCATCATCATTCTCATTTCATAAATTTTACCAATCTATAAGTGATAGAAACAGAAAATTCACATTGATATACTTGTACTTCTAAATAAACATGTGCACATGTGTGCACGCGCGCATACACACCCACTTAATATTTTCTGAATTCCGCCTCCTGCCAGTGTTTGGTATTTGCATCTCATGTGGAATGGTTTACATATTTTTATGCTTTGTTGAGATTAATTATGTGACTCATGGGAAAAGTCAAGTTAAATAAAGAAAATATATACAAGTGGCATTTCAGCCTGAGTTAACCAAATATGTTTTGACAGAGCAAATGACCTTACATCACACTATTATCTGGAGATTTATGCAATGTTTTAGGAATCTAAAACCTCATTTGTCATCAGAAGTACAATTTCTTAAAAGATTTGTACATGGCTTCTAATTTAGCTCCTGAGATCTTCATAGTTTGACCTTTATTTGATCATACTCTATCATTGATATTTAAAACAAAAACTAGGAACACTCAATTGGGATCTTGCTAAACTATGTGGCTATGGTATTTCCCCCTGCCATGACATCAGTATAAACACAGGTAAGTTTCAGAGGATGGTCTGGCCAGTGCTGTGATTTTCTCAGGGTGTGGGCTGAAAGCAAATGCTAATCTCAATACAGCTGACATCAGACTAGTACCTCCATACCAGAAGAATATTCACTCTGCCCCTGGCTACAGCTCTTCTGCTTGCCCATGTTCTAACCCCTCCCGGAACCCAAAGGGTCCCCAAACAACCAAAACCAAAAAGTCAATCCCCAGGGCCGCCGCAAAAAAGGGGGACCAAAAAAAAGGGGGCAAGGGGGGAAAAAAAGGGTAAGAAAAACAAAAAACAACAAAATAAGGGGTGGGGGCCCCCCCGCCCAAGCCCAACCCACCCCAACAAAAGAACCAAGGGAGAAAAAAATATTTTTTCCTTCTGTTCTTTCTAGAGAAAAACATGAGCATGTTTCATCTGTGTTTCAGATCTTTTGAGATGCTCATTTTCAGTTTAAGAATATAAAATTCTTACAGGGTTAGGTGCTCATAATTTGTCTATATGCCAACTGGGATTGTATACATAAAATTAAGTGTGATTTTGAATCTGAGGTTGAATTACACATACATGTATGTTGTACACACACACACAATTGATTTTGGCATTCATAGGAAAAATTAAATTCTCATATTTACTAAATTTTCCTGAAATATAGTTGCTGCTAAAAGCTGCTTGGTAAATTATTAAAATAAATTTTAATTTTGTATTTTCCCTTTAATCTTGAGTTTACCAACAAAATATAATTTGGAATCAAAAATGAGAAAAATTTATGCCTTAGTAGTTACATAATGACATGGAGAAACCCTGTTTTAATCTTACTGATATTCATTTCATTAATAAGAAATTGAGACTTTTAGAAAGAAGAAACTTTTATTCTGAGTTAGTATGTACAGGTGTATGTTTGAGCTATGAAAAATATAAACAATGTTGTTATGTGAAAATGCTACACTTATAAAATATATTAAAATGTCAAGTTGGAGCAATAACTTATTTTAGATAGACTATTGTAGTAGATTTCTGGTTTGTTAGACACATTGATGTCAGATGGTCATATCAGTGGATGGATTGGGGAAAAGATATAAATCTGAGAGCCATCAGCAATGATAGTTTCTATAAGTAACAGGACAAAGAGCTGAGTCAAGGAGGGATAGTCACTAATGGCTAGAAAGGCTTTAACTTTGTCAAAGAATGGCAATTAGAGGAGAAACCAAGCTGGGTGTGGTAGTGCACACTTGTAATCCCAGCAGCTTGGGAGGCTGAGACAGGAGGATCATAAGTTCAAAGCCAGGCTCAGCAAAACTAAGGTGCTATGCAGCTCAATGAGACCCTGTCTCTAAATAAAATGTGAAATAAGGCTGGGGATGTGGCTCAGTGGTGGGTACCCCTGAGTTCAATCCCAGTACAAAAAAATAAGCCTTCACTGACCAGGAAGGACATGAGCAAAAGTAATGCAAAGTAAGTAGTATTTTCCCTTTGAAAGATAAGAAGAGTTAAATGTTAAATTTGGACTCACTTTTTCACATAATGGGATAAGTTCATCCTCAAAAAGGTCTCTGGGAAGTTTTCCAATAAAGATTTCACAGCCTCTTTCTGGGGGTGCAGCATCCCAACCAGGTGGAGGGCCACCATATTTTCTTTGTCCATTTTCCTGCAAATACAGGGGGATGTATATGAAGGAGAGAAGAAAACAATAAAATCTTTAGTTTCATTTCCTTAATTTCATTTAAAAAAATCATTCACAATAAGGAACATATTTATCATTCTCAGGTAATAATATTTGACTAGTTGGAGGGCAAAAGGTAAAGTTTCTCTCTTTTCTAAAAAAATATTTAATTTTTTTTAGTTGCAGTTGGACACTTTACTTCTATTTCATTTATTTATTTTTATGTGGTGCTGAGAATTGAACCCAGGGTCCCGTGCATGCGAGGCCAGCACTCTACTGCTGAGCCACAAACCTAGCCCCTGAAGTGAATTATGTGAATTATAATACCATGGTTTGTGCTTCAGAGATTTGCTTGAGATAAGCATTGTTAAAAGTTGTAAAGTGCTGGAAAAATATATTTTAAAAAATTATTATGGCAAGAATATCTAGCATTGATATCTTAACAACTTAAGGAATTATTATTTTTCCTATTGTTATGTACTCACCAAAAATCTGATTACCAAATGAGCTGACTATATTCAGGACTCTGATTTAACATTAATGGCTATGTAGGGTGGTAGCAAAGGTCCTGAAATTACTTCTTGGCTCCACTGCTCACTGGGTGTGGTACCTTCACAAATGACTTAACTCCTCTAGACCTCAGTTTTCTTACAGGTAAGATGGAGGTAATATCAGCTTTTGGTTGGAGGAGACAATTCATCAATATGCATGATATGACTGTGATATGTGCTTAACAGTTATTAATTCTTTTTTGTCTTCTTGGATTTGGGTCGCTTCCTAACTTAAGATTTACATTTGGAGAGGTGCATTGACTAATTTGGAGGGTAGCTAGTAAGGGATTTGAGTCTGCTTTCAAAGCTGATAACATTCTAAGAAGTTTGTACTAATGTTGGCTCTTTATGTGGTGAATAATGATATTCTCAGCTCAAACTGAATTAACTACTACTACTTCTTCTTTTAAAAATTATTTTGGGGAGGAGTAATGTGGTGTTTTTCTGCAGTGCTATCTTTGTTTTTCTAGAGGTTAAAGACCAAAGGAAAGTATGGGCCTAATCCACTGCTATTGATCTGTAATAGTTCATTTGCTGGGGAAAGATAAACAAATTACTTTGCACTTTGGCACAGTTAGAGCTCAGGTCATTACATTTTATTGTGATTTTTGGAAAAAGGAAAATATAAGGGACCAAATGTCAGCATTCTACGAACTTCACAATTAATATTTTAGGATGTTTTATGCTATAGGATGATACATGTTGTTAGAGAAAAAATAGTAATGTATAAAAGAAAAAGAAAAATGCCCCAATGTATCATTTTATTCCTCATGAGAAATAGTTACTATTAAAAACTTCAGTCTGCTCTTCCAAATATTTTTCTATCTATAATTTTAAATTATGTTAGTTTTTTAAAGACATTGTTTTTTGTGATAGCTGTTGTGTCCCCAAGTCACTCTGAGATTGCAACACATCGCCTTTCTAAAAACACAAAAAAATTTCTGAAATTCCAAATATATCAAACCTTAAGAAATTTGGAAAAGGGATTTTCAGAGGGTTGCTGTAGGGATTAAACATAACAATCTACTGTAAGTACCTATTAGATAAACTATTAATTGTGACAAGACCCCTGAATTATGATCTTATTCACTGAATAAATATCTATTGAATTAAAAAAATTAGTATAAAACAGATTTTAGTATCTCTGTTAAACATTTACACCAACTTGACTCTTTCTTAATTATTAATAAGTACTAGGAATTGAACCCAGGGAAACTTAAACACTGAGCCACATCCCAACCCTTTAAAAAAAATTTTTTTTTTTAAAATTTTGAGACAGGGTCTCTAAATTGCTTAGGGCTTCACTAAGTTGCTCAGGCTGACTTTGAATTAGCAATCCTCCTGCCTCGACCTCTCTAGACACTGGCATTACAGGCTGAGCCACCACACCTGGCTTTCTTAATTATTTTGTAAAGTTTGCACAAAGGCTGTTTGGATCACAGAATTTACATGATGTCTGTGGTCAAGACCCTTTTTAGATTCTTGATAATATAACCATCTTGCTTTAAATAATATGAAAGGTTGATAGATGAATGTTCCATCTTGCCTTGATATTTCTTGTTTCAGGCAATTGGATACTTTTCATTTTACTGAATACTTAAAAATTTGACTATAGAATTCTTGTAATTTTTTCCTGACCCTATATTCTTACAGGAGTACCCAGTACTCCTTGTAAGAAAGTGAAACTGTGGTGTCACTGACAAATCTAAGAATTTAAGAAGTATTTCATGCTTTTAGTATTTCATGCACTTAAGCATTTAGTGCTCTCAATAGAAATATGACATTGGTAGAGATATTGAAGGTTTTAGTCATTGATTTTCTTATTCTCTAACAAATACCTACATAGTACATATTATATGCTAGATGGTGATCTAATTCTCAGAACAATGTCATGGGTTAGTGATGTTTTTTCACCCTAATTTACAGAAAGCATGAATTCCATAAAGCAACTTGCTGAGCTAACATGGTTATGAGGTAGAAAAGCCAGGATTTGGACCTGGGAAGTAAGCCTGGGTTTATTAACTTAATGTTGCTGCCTTGACATAGGGAAGCCTGAGCCTTACCACACATGCATACATTAAAGTAATCCTTATTTATGAAAAAGTTTGTCATGTTATTAAATAGCAAACTCTCTGCTGCATTTAAAATCCTTTCCAATTTTCAATCATCTTAAAACACCAAATTTTGGGGAGAACATCTTCCAGAGAGGCCTGTTTATTGCCAATCACAGTTCTGCCTGGGCCATGTCTTTCCACTTGACTAATGATAATGCCTTTTGTGTTCATTTCTGTATATCTTAGATGTCTATAACATTCAAGAAATCATTGTAATAAATTTAATATAAATTTGGCAGTATTTCTACCTGTTAAGTTGAAGAAATCAACCCCTCGTCCCATGAGAGTAGAGTGGCTCTTTCAGAATTTCTGATTTGATACGCTTTATCTGATAGTTTGAAAACAGGCAACCAACAGATAGACATTTCTAATTTTGCCTTCAACTTTCTTGTTATAATTGCTAAAATTGTCACCAAGCTATTTTCTCTCTCTGTATGTGTATGTGTGTGTGTATACATACATACACACACACACACACATATATATATATATATAGTATTTTGTATGTATGTGTATATATATATATTTTTTTGGTGGGGGGGCTTGAGATTGAACCCAGGGCTTAGTGCACGCAAGCACTATACCAACTGAACTATATCCCTAGCCCTATTTTGTACATATTATGGATGTAAGAGGATTCATTTGTTTATGAGCTAAGATGGTTAAGAAAGTTTATTAATTGTGTTTCTGTGGTTTCTACACACACTTGAAAAAAATTCTCCAAGAATAGTCTTTGGTATTGCAAACAGTCTGACTGTCCCAGAGATGCTCTAAGTTCATGAAGTGGAGGAGATGTGCTTGCTGAGCCAACCAGTGGGTTGGAATGCGCCAGTAGTTAGAAGTTCAGAACTATTTAAGACAGGCCTTGGGATTTAGTCATGGGGTTAGAATAGCTGTCCGTTACTCAGAAAGGACAGTTCGGGTTCTGGTTTGCTGGTATTGCAGGCCCTATTTTTATAGTTGAAGAGTTTAAAATAGATAAAGCCCAATTATAACTGCTCTTTTCCCTCCCGGCTGATATCATTCTTATGGGATGTGATCTCCCAAGCAGCCTGAATGTATTAATAGTTCAAAGGAAAATATAGAATTTTTTTTAAATGAAAAGATGTTTATTAAACTCTGGGAACTTTTACTTTTCCAATCAAAGACTTAGAAATTTGTTTTTCTCGTTAATCACATATACATAATTCAACTGTGTAAATTAAAAATTGAGGACCCAATTCTAACTATAAATCCAGTGGCTTTATTTTAAACATTGGGTGTTGAGACTACCCGGTAACTCAGTTTGCATGTCAAGAGTATTTGGAAATCCTTCCTGTCACAGATATTTCAAATCCTTCTTAACAGAGTCATGGAGTCTTAAAGATATTATGGCTACCATCTTCTTGACCTTCAGTAAAAGCAGACAGCCTTCTTCAATAGATCATTCTGGGCAATAAGCCTTAGAATGAAAATTGAAAATGCTGAATTCATTTGGCCACCAATCATGTGAATTTATATATATATATATATATTTGGGGAATCTGTGCAAAACCTCTTTCTCCTGCAGAATTTTGAATTGACAGATACTTGCTTTTCCAACTTCTCTTGAAAAAACTGGGATGACCCTGGATTTACAGTAAAATTAAATTAAATTCTGGTTCCGAAATCACAGTGGTGGAAACTTCAGTGTTGAGCATTCTGCAATGGTGGATACATTTTCTTATAAAAATTTGTGATGTGTTTGGAGGTTTCATTCCTAAAAGCTCACTCATGAATCTTGTTTTCTAAGTTCAAAATTGCTATAATCCAATATCCTTTTAATAAACTGTTTCTCCTTACTTAGCCAAGACTATATTTTGTTATTTGCACTTAAAATTAACAGCAGCAAAACAACAGCTAAACCTGGTTAATCAGGCACTGTGCTAAGTGTTCTATATATATTAACTTAAATAATTTTCTCAACAAACCCAGGAGGATAAGGAACTGAAGGCATAGAATTCATCCAAATTAATACAAGCAGTAAGCAGCAGAGACAAAATCTGAATCCTAGGACCATGTTTGTCATCAAGATATTCCTGCTTTTCGGTTCTCGATTAAGCCCATATACTCATTTTATAGATGAGGAAACTCAGAGACATTACATGAATTGTCCAAAGACAAAGTGGTTTAATTTATTGCAGAAAACACTAGAATAAGGGTTCCATGATTCTCGGGTGAACTTCATAGTGTATTTAGTATTCAAAAGTTGTGAAGACTTTTCTTCTTAGGCTTTCCAGCCTCATGATTCTACATGCTGTGTGTTATTGCCGGCTTCACCAGTTATGGAGACCAGAGAGTA